CACTCAAAGAGTGATTAACACTTGGAATTCACTGCCACAGGAGGTGGTGGCGGCTACAAGCATGAAAGGCTTCAAGAGGGAATTAGATAAACATATGGAGCAGAAGTCCATCAGTGGCTATTAGGCACAAGGTATATATAGGAACTCTCAGTCTGGGGCAAGTGATGTTCTGTATTCTTGGTGCTGGGGGGGCAACAGTGGGAGGGCTTCTAGTGTCCTGGCCCCACTGCTGGACCTCCTGATGGCACCTGGTATTTTTGGCCACTGTGTGACAGAGTGTTGGACTACATGGGCCATTGGCCTGATCCAACATTGGCTTCTCTTATGGTCTTATGTAAACTTTACATCCCATTTTAATATGCAGTTGGACTAGGAATGGAGAAAAACAGGTCTCCTACCAATAGGAGACAGACAGATCTTTAAAGCCCCCAGACATTAAAACTGAAAAAAAACCTTTCGTCCTGAAACGTAGTTCTTTAAGTGATACTTGTTTTAAAGAACAGCCTCAAATGCTTGAACTCTGTGTGAGTCATTATGATTCCTAACTATAAATCTTTGACCTCTAGTTTTTTCCACGAGGCATGGAATGTCGAGGCCCAGTGAATGAGTGTGATATTCCAGAGATCTGCACTGGAGACTCTGGCCAGGTAATTACATTATTCTAATGTGTTCCCAATTTTGTACAATAGTACAGACCTTTTCTGCTGCAACCCACAATTTAAAAGATGGCTCTAGATAAGGAGGGGGAAAGATTAAAGCCCTTTTTTTCCAGTACTGTAATGCCTAAAATCTCCTTTCCTGCTTGATATACAAAAACTAGCAAGTGCAGTTCATGTGATATTGTACACAGTTTTGCTCTTCTAGAGAATTAAAAATTGCTGTCGTCCTATCTATTGCCTTTTCCCCTTTGTCCATGGATATTAAGTTAGCAGCTACATAGGCATCGGGGGATAACCCCTGATCATGCATCCAGAACGTCTGTTTGGACATTTAGTGTTAGGACCTTGGCAGAGAATACAGTGACAGCAAGTGGGGTAGAGGAGGATTGGGATGGAGAGCAAGGAAAAGGGTGGAAGTGATTGGAGTGGGGGGAGGGGTCAGTGACCCGGAGGAGGAAGGAGAAGGCAACAGGAACTTGGGGGAAGGAATGAGATTTCCTTCCCTGACAAGTTCTTGTATTTTGCCCTCTTGTCTAACCTATTAATCAATTAGGTATTATGAGATAACATTAGCATTTCTTCTGCCTTACTTTCTTGGTGTTATCCTCTTTTGTCTGTCTATGCCAAGTGTATTCAAGATGCTTATTGACCCCTAATTCAAAACACTGCAGATAAACTTATCTTTTTCTTTCAGTGCCCACCAAATCTTCATAAGCAAGATGGATTTCCTTGCGATTCAAGTCAGGTATGAAAGTCTGTAAAACATTCCTCGCTTAATACTGAACGCATGTTGTAGTATTATCCAGTGATAATATTCACTGGACACAGTTGCACACATACCTGTTCCTTCAAATTGTTCCTCATAATCTAGAAATTGTTCCTCATAATACGGTCTGGGCCATTTGCAGCCTGATGATACTGAGTATGTTAAGTGTTGTAGCCTGCACCAGCTGAAGCGGGGTTAGCAATGCATCAGTTTATAGCAGTTTAAAATGCATGGTATACCCATGCAAACTGTTGCCTGCCCCACATATAATCGCCTATAAGATTTCAGTTTGCTCTCTTCCTAAGGGAAAGCTCATTTGAATGTCTTACTTTGTGGGAAACAATGCAAAAGAATGTCATTCCCTTTAAGGATCACACCTGTGTAGAAAAAAATGTTTATCTTTTGTAAGGTCAGCTCTTTTATTTCAATGTCTGGCTTTTATTTCAATGCCTGCTCCGATAGATTTGAATTTTAATTGGTTTATTTATATGGAATTTTAACTGTTTATATATTGTACGCACTTTGTGCCTGTGTAAGCCGCCCTCAGCCCGTTTGCAGGGAGGGTGGGGTATAAATATAATGAAAGAAAGAAAGCAAAATGTACAATTATATTTACTGGGTTGTTTTTAATTTAGGGACGTTGCTACAGTGGAGAGTGCAAATCAAGAGATAATCAATGCAAATACATTTGGGGAACAAGTATGTTGATTTAAGTATGCTTTATTCCTATGTATCTCTTTCTTATTTGTATTACTAGCTTTGCAGTCAGTAATGTTTTCAGGTGAAATTTTAATGTCCAGGAGTTGAAAGATATGGATGTTAAGGGGAAAAAATACATATATGTGAGTCGGTTTCTAGCTTGATTTAGCATTTGGCCGTGGGACAGATGGTGGATAAAGCCTGTGATTGGAGACTGATCTATGTGTAATCTTTCACAGAATCTTCCAAATGTATTTAAAGTCAGTAATTGAAAAATATTTGATCTGCATCTATGTTTACTTTTTTGTAATTGGATATGTGTTCATATAAATTTCCACAAAAGACCACCTTTGGGGGCAGTTGAAGGTATTCTGCTGCTCCCAGGACAGCAGCAGCTGGGAGCAATCCAGCCCAAGCAACACTGGCTTTCCTTGACATTTGAGTCACAGTAAACAGAAGCCTGATCCCCCCCCCCTTCATGTGCATAAGCAATAGCCTCTTTTCCTTAGCAAAAACAAAGTATATCATTTTAAGGGAACTATTGCTTCCCCTTAAAATAACACTTCTGCACAAGAGAGAGTAGAAGCGCCATTAATACCCTGTTTCACTTCAGGAGTCTGTGTCTGAGCATCAGAGTCTGGGAAGTAATCATTGCTCTCCCTCTTGCAGTACCAGTGGTTGGGGGAAAACAGCCCCAGCAGACTGGCAGCATCAGAAGGTTTTAACTCAAGCCCAACCAGTACTGGTGTGACTTCATAGAACAGGCCCTGGCTTTAACAGCAGCTCTATTAAATCACAGTACTAAGGAGTGGTGGTAGTGGTGGTGTATGTACTTTATTGTTACACTATTGTATGTGATAAAATAAAAAGTTATAAAAATATATGGACCCATTGTGAGATAACTGATTCCAGATTCATTTTATCAAAAGTATCCTGGACTGGTAAGTACAATTGCAGAACAGTTATCAGTTTTTCTGAGCCTCCTGATCCAGTATTTGAGAATACTGATTTCACTATGCTGTACAGTACACTAGGGGGCATTGCAACAATCTTCAACCCATTTAGAATCCTTCCTGTTCTTAAGATCTCCCAAGATCAATTTTTTCAGCTCCCAAGAAAATAGATAATCTTTTATTTTTGAATGCCACTTTCTGTTGCATTTTATTATAAAAGGGCTCCAAACTCATTCTTTGACCTCATGAATGCATGTTAATAGCAGATGTGTACTTATGCAAGAGATGGAATTAGAAGTGTTTAAAAATGTCTGAAGTGGTTCTACAATCAAGTTTTTCTGTTAAGTTAGCAAATAACATTAGTCATCACAAATGTTGTAGATACGTAGTACCTTGTTTAATTGAAAAGGGCATTTTCGTAATGTCTGGGCAAAGATACTTTCCGGCATATGAAACAGAAATAAGCTCAGAAAACTTCTGGTCATCCAAGTAAATTGGAGAAAGGGTCAACATACACCATTTTAAATGGATGCTTGGGGTATGAATTGGAACAGACGGGACTTGCTAGAGAAGAGTTCCAGAAATATGATTGCTTACTGTGACTCAAACGCAATCTGATTTTAACAAGTCAGGATCTCTCACGGTTCTTTTCTGCCCCTTCCATCTTATATCTTGGAATAAAATTTCCTAAGTACTGCCTCTGATAGAAAATGCATGTGTATACACAGTAGTGTATGCGGTGGCTCAAGTGGTTAAGATGCTGAACTGCAGGCTGTAGAAGGTCAGTAGTTCAGCAGTTCGAGACCCGGGTGCCGCATGATGGAGTGAGCTCCCGTCTCTAGTTCCAGCTCCTGCCAACCTAGCAGTTCGAAAGCAAGAAATTGCAAGTAGATAAATAGGGACCACTTCGGTGGGAAGGTAACAGCGTTCCATGCGCCTTGGTGTTTAGTCATGCCGGCCACATGACCACGGAAACGTCTTCGGACAGCGCTGGCCCTTCAGCTTTGAAACGGAGATGAGCACCGCAACCCTAGAGTCGGACTCGACTGGCTTTCGAGCAAGGGAACCTTTACCTTTTATACACAGTAGTAAACCAGAGCCTGTTCCAGATTCCTGATGAACACGCAAAGGATGTTAACTTGAAAATTTTTAGTCTGAGAATTAGCACTCCTGAATAGCGACAATTCATATTATTTGGAATAGATTCTAATAAGAGAAGACTTCGCCTGACTGATTCTGTTAGTAGAAATTAACATTCTCATTTACTTCACTAGAGGCTTCAGGGTCTCATAAACACTGTTATGAGAAGCTTAACACAGAAGGTACTGTAAAAGGAAACTGTGGAAA